TGGTGGTATCCACGCACCAGGTCCACCTTGGAAAACACCCCCGTACCGGCCAGATGCGCCGAAAAGTCCTGAATGTGCGGCACCGGATAGCGGTCAGGCGTAGTGGCGTCGTTGAGTCGGCGGTAATCCCTGCACGGGCGGAACCCGCCGTTCGATTTGGGAACGACGTGCAGGGGGGAAGCCCAAGGACTGTCGGAGCGGCGGACAATGCCCAGGCGCTCCATGGTTGCGAACTCCGCCCTCGCTACAGCCAGCTTAGAAGGGTTCAACCGCCGGGCCCTGGCGTAGACAGGAGGCCCTCCGGTAGTGACGTGGTGTTCCACGCCATGCTTAGTGGTAAGCGCAGAGAAGGTGGGTAGCGACAGGTCTGGAAACTCGGCCAACAGTCTGAGAAACGTGTCTGCACCTGACAGCGAGCCTGACAGCCCGTCGTACGCTGCGCTGCCAAGTGTGCACACGAGGGAAGAAAACGTTAAGGCATCAACCAAACGCCTATTCTTAACGTCCACTAAGAGTCCATGAGCACACAAAAAATCCGCTCCGAGGAGGGGAAAAGAAATGTCCGCTGTCACAAAATCCCAGCTGAAACGCTGTCCTCCGATGCACAAACACATAGGCCTCACGCCGTACGTGCGAATGGGACTGCCGTTAGCCGTCGTCAATCGCGGTCCGTGCCCCCCACGGGTGACGTCTTCACTCGACGCTGGAACTACGCTCCGTTGAGCGCCCGTGTCACACAGAAACAGGCTCCCCGAAACGCTGTCGCTGACGAAGAGGAGCCTGCACGTGCCGCCGACCCTCAGAGCCACTACTGAGCGCCGGCCCCTCCGTTTCCCGGGGGTTTGTAGCTGCACGGAGCGATGCATCTCTTCGCCCTTGTCCCGAAACGTGCGTGGTAAACGCACTCTCCGACGTCTCCACGCCGGCTAGCCACAGCCGTGTCCGGCCTCCGCCACGCTTTCTTGACTGCCGGTGGGCCGCTGAGCGTCGCGGCTAACGTCTCTGCCCCGGGCTGTTGCGTAGCCAGGAAAAAAACGATCCGCTTCCTCAGCCAAAGCACGGGGCTCCGTGATAGGCGTGTTGGCCAGCGCCGTCTGTACCCGGGGAGGCAAGTGACGCAGGAAAATCTCCGTGAATAAAATACGGGGATCTTCCCCCCCTAGCAGATTTAGCATTTTCTCCATTAGCTGGGATGGCTTGCTGTCTCCTAGGCCTTGAATGTCAAGTATCTGGCGGGCCCTCTCCTTAGCAGATAAGCTAAATGTCTTAAGGAGAAGGGCCTTAATCGCCTCATATTTGCCATGATGTGGGGGGGCTGCGATGAATCCCACCAACCTGGACGACGTGGAGCTCCCCAGCGCTGCTACCACATGGTAGTATTTTAGGTCCCCGTCACGGACCTGTCGGCAGGCGAAATGTGCCTCCACGTGTGCTAACCATGCCTCCGCGGTGTGCTCCCAGAATTCCGGCAGCTTTATGAAAACATCGCGCTCAGCCATGTTCGTTAATTTTCCGGAAACTTTCTCGGAAAAGTCAGGGTCACCAGTGTAGTGCCGTGAAAAGAGAGTCGGAGGCGGTGTATTAAGAATGGAGTTCCAATCTTTATTATCCATTCCTTTCAGAGAGGTTAACACATGCACTGCTCTGCCTGATGAGCTAGCAGGAATGGCAGCTAAAGCTACAGGTGTTCCCCACTAAAGGGTCCGTGTGGCAACACAATAAGCAAGGTGAATTATGTCCAATAACGTGTCACCACAGTAGCATATTAACATTTTAATAGCACTTAATGACTGACTGAATGGAAATGACAATAAATGAAAATGTAAAACGAAAAAAGCGATCATGGAAATGTTTCCAATAAATGAATAAAATGATTTTTGACCACTTTGTTGTTCAGATATATCACATATTTGTAACTAAATGAAACATGAATTGAAACAAAACACGGTATAAACTGAGGAGTGACTCCCGTGAGGTTCATGTATTTTCTTCACTCTGCTCTCATGTCAAGAAGCATCAGATAAGTGCATGCACTGCCTCGTCCAATCAGTGAGCGATACACAGTAAGGGGGCGGGGCGAGTATCTGAGGATTTCATCGGAGGATGGTCTGGTGGTTCCTCGGTTATCGCTCCTCCATTATCGCTCCTCGCTCCTCGGTCCTCCGGCAGAAATAAGAGCCATGGGACGCTACTCAAGATGGCGCAGGCAAATCAACTTCCGGTGAGAACGAGGACCGAGGAGCGAGGAAATTAAAATAGTCGACTATTTTCATTTCCTCATTTCCTCATTTTTTCAAATCCTCAGATACTCACCCCGCCCCCTTACTGTGTATCGCTCACTGATTGGACGAAGCAGTGCATGCACTGATCTGATGCTTCTTGACATGAGAGCAATACCCCAGCGGAGTGAAGAAAATACATGAACCTCACGGGACTCACTCCTCAGTTTATACTGTGTTTTGTTTCAATTAATGTTTAATTTAGTTACAAATATGTGATATATCTGAACAACAAAGTGGTCAAACATTTTTTTATTCATTTATTGGAAACATTTTCATGATCGCTTTTTTCGTTTATACATTTTAAGAATGGCGTTTATCTTTTTTGAGAATGACTTCTTATTTTATTTCATGTATTTGGATCTACAACAGATGATACTAATGTTTATGTCAGTAAATGTGCACTAACAGAGGCGGGGGTGTTTGTGGAAATAACGGGTACAGAGCTGGCTGCTGCCAGACGATCAGCTGTGCAGCATCATCACAAACGGACGTCGCTTCACGTGACGCTCCGGAGGAAAGGACGTCCCATTACTCTTAAAACTCATTTCCCTGCTTCTCGTGGTTTCCTTGCGTCCCTCCATGCTTCCCTGGTGGGAGGGACTAAACGCAGGGAAACGACGCAAGTGAGGGAAGCAAGGATTTCATTTAATCGACATGAGAAGCAGCCCTGGTCTCCCAGCTGTGTGCGTCACTCTTTAGTGTCCCCTGGTCTCCCAGCTGTGTGCGTCACTCTTTAGTTTCCCCTGGTCTCCCAGCTCTGTGCGTCACTCTTTAGTGTCCCTTGGTCTCCCAGCTGTGTGCGTCACTCTTTAGTGTCCCCTGGTCTCCCAGCTGTGTGCGTCACTCTTTAGTGTCCCCTGGTCTTCCAGCTGTGTGCGTCACTCTTTAGTGTCCCCTGGTCTACCAGCTGTGTGCGTCACTCTTTAGTGTCCCCTGGTCTCCCAGATGTGTGTGTCACTCTTTAGTGTCTCCTGGTCTCCCAGCTGTGTGCGTCACTCTTTAGTGTCCCCTGGTCTCCCAGCTCTTTGCGTCACTCTTTAGTGTCCCTTGGTCTCCCAGCTGTGTGCGTCACTCTTTAGTGTCCCCTGGTCTTCCAGCTGTGTGCGTCACTCTTTAGTGTCCCCTGGTCTACCGGCTGTGTGCGTCACTCTTTAGTGTCCCCTGGTCTACCAGCTGTGTGCGTCGCTATTTAGTGTCCCCTGGTCTCCCAGCTGTGTGCGTCACTCTTTAGTGTCCCCTGGTCTCCCAGCTGTGTGCGTCACTCTTTAGTGTCCCCTGGTCTCCAGCTGTGTGCGTCACTCTTTAGTGTCCCCTGGTCTCCGTTGTGTTTTGAGCTTCTTGCAGCGTTTTGTATTTGCAGCGTTTGGTTTCTGCAGCTTTTAGTAAACGCTGCGCATGTTTCCTCAAGTTGCTGAATGTTTTCTAAATGCTGCATGTGTTGTCAAGTTGCTGAAGATGTTTCGTCATGTGGAACATTTGTGTTCTTATATTTGCATCGTTTCTCCGATTGAAGAGTTTTGGGTCGGTGTCGCTCGTTTGCACCTGTCGGCCACCGTACTATTGTCTTGAATTGTCGTTTTTAATAAATAAAAAAAAACATATCAAATGTCTGCCACTTAACATGCATTGCAACCTTCAATCATATCTCACACCCTTATAAAAATATATTAAATATACCACAGACAGGGGCTAGGCTAAGCCTTCCCAAATATTTGTGTCACTGCATCCTGGTAAAATACAAATATAATGCAATGTCTGTGTCTTTGACATTAGCGCTGCTAGCCACTTGTGCCCTGTACTACGAAGCCAGTTCAACAGACCCTGGATATGTTTGAGTAACAAACAAACTAACAACAACAAACTAACAAACGAGATCTCGCTAAGCGGTCCTACGACGCTGGTTATCAACTCGGTAAATCAAGCCAGGGTTTCTCTCTCCAGCTGAGAGCGCGTTCACGTGAAAGGGGCGGGGTTAGCTACATTTGACCAATCACAAACAGGGACAAGTGTACTGACAGCGCAGCGTCATACTTCATTAATGAAAAGTAAACTAATATTAGACAAATATGAGCTTTAAACATCCATGATGACTTAAACATATAATCCAGAATACAAGCCACAGAGTTGCACCTGCAAGGAGAATACAGAACAACTCGTTAAAAAATAACTAGGCCTACCGAGTGTTTGAAAGCGTATAGTTTTATGATATCACTGCCCCATCTGACACGAGTGGATCTGACTTTAATTACATTTGACTCGAGTGTTTCGTCAACATAATGTGTTGCTTAAAATAATACTTCTACTTACAGTATGTGACACTGTGAGTGTTGCACGGCCAGATACGGCTGGAGAAGCTGACTCAGATAAGGAAATATATGATATATTATGATATTATATGATCGATGATCTGATTGATGATGTAATGATAAGTGCGACACGTCGGCGTCTTCTCTGCATACGGCAGTTTAAACTGTATTTCCTTTATCCTGTAATATGACTTGAGAGATTTAAACTCTGCAAACTGAGCTCTGATTGGTCACTGAGTTGATCTCTTTTCTATAGACGCCGGAGGCGGGCAGCGTCAGGTAAAAAAAGTGATTTAGCCTTCCCAAACCTGAGCCTCACGCGCCGCCTATGACCGCAGATGTTTTTTATTTTGGTCATTGATCAAACAGTGCATATGTAACCGGTCTGGTTTGACGCCACATGTGATCTCTGCGTTGTGTTATGTTGTGTAAATGAGAACGACTTCTTTCTTGCCAACCAGGATTTATTCTCTGTGCAAAACAGAATATAATAATTAAAGCAGGAAATGGCTTCATCAGCTTTCTAACTTCACACTTCTCCTCAGTGGGGCCTGAAGCTAACTCAGGAAAGTATACAGAGTTCTAAATAATACAATTAACAGATATACATCTATCCATGGTGGCAAACCAGTTCTTCCTTGTAAACCAATATACACAAATATAACCATTAATTTACACTTACATAACAAACAATACAATTTACAGTTACAAAATACAAAAATAATACCCACATACCTGTGCAAAACAGAATATAATAATTAAAGCAGGAAATGGCTTCATCAGCTTTCTAACTTCACACCTTCAGTGGAAGAAAACACCCACATGTTAGGTTAGCATATAGCTAAACTTTAGAAAGCTCCCAAACACTGTTTGAAGCGCTGCACATTATATAAACTACAGTCACACACGGCAAAATATAGATATTAACTGCAAATAGGTTTGGCTTGTGTGAAGTGTAACATTAAACAATCTATTAACATATAACATACAACATTTATGACACCACTCGTTCCAAGCATATTATGCTTTTCTGAGACCAAATTGGACAATTCCATTACAGATTCAGAGATTGAAATTGAAGATTATCTTGTAGTGAGAAGGGACAGGAATGTGAATGGAGGTGGTGTCTGCATGTACATACATAAAGACACCAATTTCAAAAACCGTACTGACCTGCATCATGAAAATATTGATTCTGTGTGGGTTGAAATTCTTTTTGACAATGCTAAATCTGTAATAGTCAGGACAATCTATAGACCACCGGAACAGAGTGACTTTTATGATACATTAGATGGGTGTTTGGCTGATGTGGGAGATGTAGAGACAATTATTATTGGAGACTGGAACACGGATATGCAACGTAAAGACACGTCCGTCTTCAAGTCCTTCAGTAGGATTTGTGATCTGCACGGCTTCAGCCAGCTAATCACCCAAACTACCATTGATCTCATTCTGACCTCTGACAAGTCCAGGATCTCCAGTAAAGGGGTTATAGCATGCGGGTTAAGTGATCATTATATGATATTCTGTACCCGCAAAAACAAAGGGCCGGCTGTCACAAAACAGTCATATCTAGAGACCTCAAAAACTACTCTAGCGAGGCCTTTAACCTAGAACTGGAGAGCCTGGACTGGTCAGATGAGCTCAGTGGTACACAAGTTGAAGAAACATGGCTTGGTTTCAAAAACAAATTCTCTGCAATACTCAATGAGTTGGCCCCCCTAAGAACAACCAGGGTAAAAAATCGCGCTGAGCCGTGGATGCACTCCGGCATACTGACCGCCATGAAAACCAGAGACAAAAAATGCTCTGAGTTTCATAAAAGTCAGTCAATGCTTTCCAAAAGCACGAGCAGTGAACTCCAGGCCCACGTGACTGAACTCAAAATTGAAAGAAACAGACTAAGAAATGACGTAAGCTCCATGATCAAAACTGCCAAAAAGAATTTCATCAATGTCAAAACTGAGGAAAACAAAAATAAACCCCGTGAACTTTGGAAATTACTCAATAACCAGCTTGGCTGCAGTAAAAAACTCAAAACGAGATTTTCTAACTTAAACATAAAGACAGATAACAGGCTCATCACAGACAAACTGGATGTGGCCAAGTACTTGACATTTTTTTTCACAAACATAGCCACAACTCTTGTAAATAAATTACCCTCCCACTCAGGGCTTTTTGGAGTAGATCACATCATGACCTACTACAAAAACCTAGGGGTACGCAAAGATGATTTCAGTCTAGCAAGGGTAACAACAGCAGAGGTACTCATTAAACTGAGCGCCCTCCAACCTAACAAGGCCACTGGCCACGACAATATCCCCTCCAAATTCCTCAGAGACACAGCAACCGCCATCTCACCAGTCATAGCTCACATAATTAACCTCTCCATAAAACAGGGAAAAGTACCCAAAGACTTCAAAATTGCAAGAGTAACCCCCCTGCACAAAAAGGGCAGCAAATTGGACCCAGGCAACTACCGCCCTGTTTCTATACTTACCTCCATCTCGAAAGTCATGGAAAAAATAGTATATGAACAGGTCGAAAAGTACCTCGCGGAAAAGAAACTAATCTATGAATTTCAATCTGACTTTAGAACATCCCACTCCACTGACACATGCCTTCTTTATTTGAGCGACCACATCAAACAAGAGGTGGACGAGGGCAAGTACTGCGGCATGGTGATGCTGGACCTACAAAAGGCTTTCGACACTGTCAATCACCCCATTCTGATTGACAAGCTAAAAGCAATTGGTTTTGATAAACTATCGGTGAGCTGGATGCGGTCCTACCTGGAGGGGAGAGAACAGATGGTGGAGGTAAACGGTACTCTGTCCCCCCCCCCTCCCAGTGAGCTGTGGTGTTCCACAAGGAAGCATATTAGGTCCGTTACTGTTCCTAATTTATGTAAATGACATGTCATCAGCATGTGACTGCAACTTGTTCCTGTTCGCGGACGACTCAGCCCTGCTGGTCTCTGACAGGAACAGGTTGCAGGTTGAAAAAACCCTCAGCTCCGAGCTCGGCAGAATCTGCACCTGGCTCGCCGATAATAAATTATCATTACACCTGGGTAAAACAGAGTCCATTCTCTTCGGTTCGAAACATAATCTCAGCAAATCCGACGACTTCTCAGTTGTAGTTGTCACAAGTAAGAAGGAAATTACATACCTAGGATCTATTCTTGAGGCAAACCTCTCCTGTGACAAAATGGCATCCAATGTAATAAAAAAAGTCAATCAAAGAACTAGATTCCTATACCGGATCTCCTCTCTGGTAAACAAGAACACCCTGAAAACTCTGGCAGGAGCACTCATTCAAGGGTACTATGACTATGCTTGCACGTCATGGTACCATAGCACCTCCAAGGCGCTAAAAATAAAACTTCAAACATCGCAAAATAAACTGGTCAGACTACTGCTTGACCTTTCATTTAGAACCCACCTCACCTCTGCCCACTTTGACAACCTAGGATGGCTTAGAGTAGACGACAGAGTACAGCTACTTGCAATGGGCCTGGTCTACAAGATCCACTACACCTCTATGGTACCCATGTACATGTCAAAATTCTTCCCAAAGGTCAAGGAATACCATGATCATAACACCAGAGGGAGCTCCACAAATCATGCGAAACCCAGATTTGGCACAAAAAAGGGGGAATACACGTTTCGCAATGATGCCACATCAAGGTGGAACGCTCTTCCCACAACTGTAAAGGAAAGTAAAACTATACTTACCTTCAAAACCTCTCTTAAAGAGCACCTTCGGGGGAGAGCATTGCAAAACTGGCCCCGGTAATGGTACAAATCTCAACCTGTCGTTCAATGGACAGCTTCCCCCCCCCCCATCTATGTATATACTCGCATTTTAGACTCTGTTACTAACTGTATATCTGTAGACTTGGTATGTCTTAAATGTCCGGTTAGGATGTATTAGAACGAAATCTAAAATGAAAATTGTAAACAAGCAATCTGTATCTAAAAAAACACCTGTATGTAAATTGTAAATAAGCCATCTGTATGTCAAATATGTCTTATATGTCTTAAATGATATGATGAATTGGAAATGGGGGACCCTGATGTAAACAAGACAAAAGTCTTTCTCTGGTCTGCATCCCCTTAACAATTGTATGTTGTGAGCTGTACTGTACTGTACCCAATATACAAGCTGTTAATAAACTTTTCAATCAATCAATCAATCAATCAATCCACTTACTTCTCCTCAGTGGGGCCTGAAGCTAACTGAGGAAAGTAGCGCGAGTCTGCAGAAATGTGCCGGTGCCAAGAGTACCACAAATAAAACGTACTTTTCAAAATAAAAGCATCTAAAAAATAAAGTGACAGTGACAAGTTTTACAAATAAAGTATGGACAATGATTTTACTGAAATATAAACAAGTGAAGTTATACATTGGTTACACATGTAAAATAATTCGGAAAACTGATTTAATGTGTACAATTCTGTGTAGATGACAGTACTGCATCATATCATATAATCATGTTTATTTAAGAACTGTAGTGGAGTAAAAAGTACAAGGTGCAACTGAAATCTAGTTGAGAAGAATTGGAAAGTACTACTATACAATTAAAAATACTCAAAGTACAAATATGTCAGAATAGTATTTAGGCCTAAGTGTGGTACTTGAGTACTGGTTCCTTGATTTGTGTCTGAAAGATGGTAAAGTGTCAGTGCCTGGATCTCTGCCTCCAGGGAGAAAGCTCTCCCCAGCTCCCCGCCCTCCCCCTCTCTCCTCCCGGCTTCCTCTCCAAACGCCGCCCATTATCGCTTCTCTCCCGCTTCTCACACACGCTTCTCCGCCGGTTCTTCACTGGGTGTTTTTTCATCCATTTAACAACCACTGACTTCTGACGGGATTTTATTCGTTTTGGAGCTTTTCTGTTTTTACCCCCGGTGCATGGATGGAGTCTTCCCCGCAGGATTCAGCGAGCGACCCGGGGAGGAGCGGCTCTGAACCGGCTACACCAGGGGTCTTCAACTAAAATTCAACGAGGTCCAGTTAGATAAAATGTCCCCATGCAAAGGTCCGGAACATCAAAATGTCTAACTTGCTTCATGAATTAGTGTGATATTGAAGTGACCTGTAGCTTTATCAACGTCTGCATGTAATCAACAACTGACTGCCAATCAAATAAAGAAAGTACAATTCAAAAACAACAATATGTATTGTCAATTAACATTACTTAAATACTGTGGATATGTGTAATGTTCCTCTCGGGCTGCATTTACAAATAAAATAGAGAAAATAAATAAAATAGCTTTTGAAAATATGTGCATCTTAAAAGTGCTTAATTTTAGATAAATAAAATAAAGTGTAGCAGCAGCTTGAGTTTCCCTTTTTCTTTGTTAACCGTTTCACATCATGATTTAACAGTTTCAGCCGATTATAGAACAATATCAGTCTTTACAAATCATAACATTTGAACAGTTTTAAAGTTTCTCTTTCTTTCCCTCTTATATTGCAGTCCCTCACTCACTTTTTTTAAATTCAGTGTGAGAATTGAGCTTGAGCTTGTCCTGCCTGGAGTTTGTAAATCTGGGCTGACATGGAGTCAGGGCCATTCTCATACACATGCAGGTGCTCATTGGTTACAGTGATGCAAACACAGGTATGGTGAAAAAAGAGAGAACTATTCGAAGCAGGAAAAAAACAGCGTAATAAACCATCTGACAAAGGCCTGTGCTATAATGCTTCAATTAACTGCTATTCTTTATAATATAGTCAGATCAATAGGAGACAGAGATGTTAAGTTAAAAATCAAGGGTTTTTATTATTATTTACAGCAGGGGTGTAAATAATTTTCCTTTCAACTTTTACAACATCCTCCGAGGGTCGTACAAATTATTGAACTCAACCTTTGCTTAAAAAAACTAAACTCACAGCCCATTCATTTGGCCTTTCTTTCATGCTGTGCAAAGAAAAAGCAACCAATCCAGATATCTCACCATGACTCACGTATGCATGCACGTGCACGTGTGGCATGACCACCAAAACAGAAAGATATGGACTCAAGATGTGTGCAAATGTATTTAGTATCCTATCCATGTGAACATGATTTAAGTGGGGGGGGGGACCTAACCTCCTCTAGGGGGGTCCGGGGGCATGCTCCCCCGGGAAGATTTTTTTTAAATATTGAAGTTAAAAGCATCAATCTGGTACACTTTGAGAGCAACATTAAGAGATCTATGGATACATCTCTCAACACCCATATGAAACAGAACTGTAAGCAGATTTTTCTTTTTGGATATTTTACAAATCACTCCCCTTTTAAACTCTATTCTTGTTATTGTTAACAACTTTTTGTTACTGTCATATAGTATTTTATACCTGTTTTTCATTTAGTCTCATTAATAACTATAATGATCATATCAAGGTGTGCCTTAACCTCACTGAGCTGAGGTTATTTGAGCCTCTCAGGAGAGAGCTCTCTTCCACCTGGTTGTAGAAAAGCTCTTTAAATTCGTTAGCATAGCTAGCTAACCAGATGCTAATAACAACAGATCGCCACTGTGCTTACAACTAAAGACACAGCCACGCAAACACTGCGGCATGTGTACGGCTCCTTATGGGTATTGCAATATTGTAAGGGCTGGATCGGCGTTCCAGTGCTCAGCACTCCTTTCAGACGAGACATATACCACGTGAAGACACGTTACGCTCGTGTTGTGTTCATGGAACCTGTCCTTGGCCAGGAAAAACAGGTACTCGCTTGTTTAATTATTTTTGCGGTCTAGATTTCTTCTTCTTTTTTGAAGTGAGAAGTTGTCCGTCAGTCGGACTGACGGACGGACTCCCTCCCCCCCACCCCCAAAACGAAAACTCTTCGGTTCTCCACGAATTACGCAAGTCACCCAAATCAGCGTTAAAAAAGCGGGAGGCACCGACAAATCCCCTATTAATGTATTGATTATGGCTCCGGGTCCGTATAGGTCGGCGTCTGGGTCCGGATCCGGACCGCGGTCCGCCTGTTGCCGACCCCTGCACTACACTATATATAATCCAGGGGGCGGTATTGCGCCTAAAAGCTGTTTGCCAGCCGCCCTTAAACGACAAATGAAGAACAAGAAGAAACACAACAACAAAACGAACAAAATACAAGAAGAAAAGTTAGTATGGCGATTTCAGATAACACACAGGAGCTAGAACCCACCTGCTTATTTTAAATCAGCTGTGTGGGAACATTTCGGGTTCCCTGTGGACTACAATAACGGTGGAGTGCGAGTGGTGGATCGGACGAGGACGGTGTGTCGCCGTTGTTCTACAGTGGTGCGGTATGCTAATAGAAATACACGCCAAACATGCTAAATCATATCAGAAGGTATCACCGAGATTTGCCGGAGCCCGGCAAAAGACAACAGCAGTTTAGCAGCTGATCCGCTCTGTTTTTAAGAAACCAATAGAAATGAGAGCCGAGAGACCCAAATAAATAACGGAAGCTTTTGGCATATGTTTTTCAACGACTTTGTGCTCTTGAAACACTTTCTTATTATTTATGATGTCATATTTTCAAGACATTCTTTTTAGTTTTACAGCTTGATGAAACCTTTTTGTTTGACATCAGCCATTATAGATAATATGGCCATCTGAGTGTGTGTGGTACTGTTTGTGGTTTGTTTTTAACTGTTTAATACAGTTAATTATTCAAAATGTCAGAGTTCTTTATTTTTAAACTGAAACTTGCACTACTGTTCAAACATAAATAACAACAAACCTGGAATTATGCATTTGGGACTTTTTTTTGCTTTTTCTTGTTGTACCGAACCGAACCGTGACCTCCAAACCGAGGTACGAACCGAAACGTGACTTCTGTGAACCGTTACACCCCTAACCTGTACATGTGGTTACATATGTAAATTGTAATCCCTGTACATTTTTGCTGTATGATGTCCTTTTGTTGTTCTGTTGTTTATGTTTTTATGTCTTCTTGTGGAACCTACTGCTGCAGGTCTCCCTTGAAAAAGAGATCATTGATCTCAATGGGATTTTACCTGGATAAATAAAGGTTTTGAATTGAATTGAATTTAAAGACCAATCTTTATTTGAATGTGCCTCTTAACCTGAGATATTAGTTATACAGTAATAGTATTGACAATCTAAAAAAACTGAGCAACTCAACAGTCAACTTTATATTTCTTATTGTCTAAAGCATTTATTATTTTCATTGTTCCCCTCTCATATTCAGTGTGGACGGATTGAGACAGCATGGTGTCCAGAGAGCTGCAGAGACTTCAGGGAGAAACCTCCGTGTGATGGACGTCCTGTCTGTTGGTTTGGAGAGGACTGAGGGTCTTTCCTCTGCAAGGAGGACCAGGCCTGATGGAGGAGCCCATGCTGGGCAAAGCTGATACCAACTGCACAGGCCTAGTCTGTCACTTTATTTGACTAAATATGTTCACTTATACATTTAATAGGTTTACACCTTCTGTCCATATGTGCTTTTTATTTAAAACATTTGATTAACTTTTGGTTCACAGTTCAATAAATTGTATTTGTATTTGCACTCCTTTTGTCCATTATTCTTACTGAAAATGTTAGATTACACATTCACATCTGACTGAAGATTGGCCCCATTTATTTGTGACGTTGCAAACTCTGCGGTACAAGGCACAAGTGATGTGAAGCTCATAAAGCGAGGCAAATAGAAATAATCAGCGGATGGAGTGTAGATGTGGAAATAGGTGCATTCGATCAGCTGACTGTGTTTTCACAATAAAAGTAGTTTCTTAGTGAATGTCCTGTACTGGTCTTAAAATCTCATAACATCAGCTTTTAATGTTCCTCTTGGATGTTCTTCTTGACCCTCAGAGAAGGACGAAATGTTGAGTCGTGTCTTTCAGGCATGTCCTTTCCTAACAAAAATGACAGGAAACATAAAACATATTATTGCAGAACAAGTGTGTTATTTATGAAAGCGGTGTGTTTGTGTGTTTAGGGGCTGTAGATATCATTATTTTTTAATTGTAATGTTTTTTTTTTATTTCAACAGTGAGCTATAAAGACAATCAGATTATGAATGAAAAGTATGAAGTTCATCAACATTGAAATATATGTTATCAAAATAATATTTAACTGTTATCAAAACGTAGTGCAACTGTAGAAGCTTGCTCTGTTGTCTCACTGAAAGAATAACTTACCACATTTTTTACAGACAATATTGAGAGATAAATAGTAGCAGTTCTCACTATGTGTTAAATATCTTTGCCTTCAATACATTAAATTAGAAAGCTGACAAAATG